GATGATCTTCTTGGTTTACTTCCTGATCCCTCTCGCCATCATCTCTGTGTATTACTACCACATCGCCCGCACGCTCGTTAAGAGCGCCCACGACATGCCGGGGGAGGTCAGCGAACACACCAAGAGACAGGTGACCGCTGGATGAATGAATGAATGAATGAATGAATGGATGAGCCCACTTCTGTCTTCGTCACTGGAACATGAAGAGTTCAGTGCAGATGGTCCCAGTTTGTTTTACTTGAGTCCAGATTTTCATCAACTGCATTTGTAAGTTAAGACGAGGACTCAGTTTGGCAGAAGATATCGATGATGTCTTGATGCTTTAAAATAATGCAGTTTAAATTCAGTGTCATAAAACCTGACTTTCTTTCAAATAAATCAGAGCAGGGTAACTTTTAGTTTTTCATAAAGTGTGTGCGCAGGAACATGAAGAGATGAAGTCACACCAAAACATAAGGAAGTGTCTCCTGGGATTTCTAACCCTTGAACGGTCTGAAGTTTACTTTACCGGACGAGAAGCTTTTCACACCAACACCTCCCACCCCCGACCTCAGACACCTCAGTGGATATTTCGGCCATGAGGGAGGTTTGTCGTGGACGACTGCGTCGGTTGGATGAGTGATCACTTTAGACGAGTTTGATCCTCACAGACGGAAGAGAGGTCAGAGCGAGGCGGGCTGAATTATTAAAGAGGGGTCGTAGACTGTGTAAATATAAATGGACAACTTGTCAGCTTCCAAAGTTGAAGTGTCTTGATTGCCCCCTGGTGGCTTGCTGCAGTATATGTCGTAAACCCTGCCTGCTCCATGTTAGCAGATGGTTCATGCACCAAAATGAAAGAAATCAAAGCAGACATTATATTATTGTTTCTCAAAGATGGTTTCTGTCAATTTAGGGAGTTCTTAAGGGGAAACATCAAACCCCAAGTCGTTCGTGTAGCAGATGAAGGATTTTGCAGGTTTCAGGTGTTAGATGGAAAAACAGATGAGTCACTTCTCACCAGAGACAAAGAGAATCTCCTCACTCCATTAAAGACTTTGCTGCGTCAGACGTCTTCTTCAGAGAATTTCAGACTTGTCTCAAACTAAAATCCTCAGGCAGCTGCATGTCGCCCTCTCACTGATGAAACTTAAAATCAATATGGAGTCTTTATTGGCTGCTAAGCTCAGAAACACATTCTCTCATCTCGCATGAGCTCGACAGGCCTCTGCTGCTAGCTCACAACAGCAGCTGTTTACGTACAAGTACATAAAAACAGGTTGAAGTTAATTAGCTGGTTCTTTAAGAAAACTGATCTCTCCTCAGACTTTCTGTCATTGTTACCTGTTTAAATAATAAAATGTCTTGACTAATAATCTAACGATCTGTGTTACGTGCATGTTGTGTGAATCTAAAATCGCTGTTTGTCTGAGGCGTCTCAGCCGCCGTGGAGTTCACAACATATCCTGCACATCCATTGTGTTGTGTTACATTAACATTCAAGCAGCACAAACGCAATAACAGCAGCAGCAGTGACACATGCAACAAAAGAGACAAATAAAAGAGACAAAAACTCGGAGCAGCTTCAGAGGCACTCAGACTTTTCCGGTTTTCTGCCTCATGAGAGTTCATGTTTATTCATGAAACCTCGACAAAATAAAACCCTCCAGTTTGGAGTTTTTGTCCTATCTTTAATCAAGACTTACAGTTTAACTGCATGACTTGTTGTAATTTATGTTCAGAATGTGCATTACCTTTCCTCAAAACTCTGCCCTTGCACAACCATAGTTCCTGTTTGCACCTAAATTGGCTCTGCTTCTGCTCAGACTGTGTGCTTGCACTCAGACATATTATTCCTGGGCTCCAGCTTCAGCTCGTCGCTCGGGCTGCTTTCTGTGCGCTCATGATTCATCTGCTCTTGGATTTCTTCTGTGCGCTCCGAATGTTTTGTGTTACAACCCTGTCAAAGGTCCCCAACCAATAGAATGCCAGGTGTTACTTTGAACGAGGACTTCAAACTTCCCCATAAAGCCATCGAACCAAAGATCTCTAAACTCCAGCATCGTCCTTCTCCTCCCTGAGATGTTTCACACTAAATCTCCTTTTCCTCACAGGTTTTCACGCTGTCTCTTAGATGTTGGATTTAAGCCCGAGAGCCACTGAGCGTTCCTCCAACAAGAGCGTTCACACCAGCAACAGTATTTCTCACAGACTCTAAGTCTCTCCGAGAAAAGAGTCAACAGCTCTAGTCCTCCCTCAAAAGATTGACGAGGACTGACCTTAACTAACCTCACTGCTCCCAAGCTCCAAGGTTCAGCTTCTGTGTTCAGTGACTTTTGTCCAAACCTGAGGACGTGAGAGCTGTGATCCGATCCTGTGATTCAGATGCTCATGTCCTAAGAAGGTTCAAACGGTTCCGACCACATGAAGACAGTGATGCTCACGAAGGTGTTGGAGGAAAAGAGTAAAAAGCTCCAAGCTACAAAGGAGCATGTGTCAAACTGCTCAAGGTGTCAGACGGCGGTTCGGAAGTCTGGGTTCAGTCCTCAGGACATTTTGAAGTAAGACAACAAAAGACTCTGAAAAAGACGTGTTGTCTAAAAATTGCTTTGAGGGAGTTTCTTCAAATTTGACACAAACGGTCACAAGCAGGAATTTGTTGGTCAAATCTCTCAGTTTCTGCTCGTCCAGACTCTAACCGAAGCTCTGACTTATTCTTCCGGAGGTTTTAGTAGCGTGGACGACAGGTGACTCTGCTGACAGCATCATCTCCTCAGGTCTTACAGGTTATTTCAGAAAGAATTCAAATTAATTCTAGAACGTTAGCACATCAGATCACACCAGAAATCACTGAGGCACTTTCTTTTCTCCGTTCACGCTGAACGTGTTCGGGCAGAACACGCAGCCTGTGAGTAGGCGTGAACACATCTGATGTGATTATCAGTGATTTGCTTTCTGTGCTGACGACTCCACGTCTCATTTCAGAGTGTGAGTCATGGATGTTCGGAGCAGAAGCTCGGAGTTCAGCTGTAATTACACTGAATCACCTCTTCAGTGACTCACGGTGAAAATAAACAAAGCCTCCAGATGTCCTCTCATTTCTCAGCAGTAAATGGAAACTAAGTAGATGCTAGTTTTCATCTGTCTGTTGAGACGTCAAAGAGACAAACACCCGTTAAGGTCAAAGGTCGTCGGTGCAGCAGCTCGTTATGACCCATGTTTTATTGTTGGCCTCTAGTTGTTCGGAGATCTGTCGCACAGTATCTCAGAGCACTGAGCTGCAGAACTTGTCGTAACCATCGACGTTAAATTAAGATGGATGACATGACGGTGCCCCCTGGTGTCTGACTGCAGTATAGGTCAGGAACGTCCTCCATGTTAGCGGATGGGACAGACGTTAAATAAATGTTTGTCAAAGATGTTTCTGTCATTTCAGCTCGTTCTTCTCTCTCTGAGGTTTGTTCAAGTGTTTCTGATCCGTTTGGTTTAATTAGTTATTGATGATATAAAAGCAGGCGGAGACTTCATGATTGACAGCTGAGACTGACTCCTGATTGGTCCCGTGCTTGTATGGGCGGGACCTTGATACCACAGCTCCACATAACAATCACTACTGCACAAATGACATCATCACCACAAGATGGCAGCGTTCATATCATGTGTCTCTAATTGTTACACACGATCTCGCTGTTTTTCCTCTGAAACCACCAACGTTACCAACGTTTCCTTTAGAACACTCTTCACCCTCCTGTTCCATCATCTCTGTTCATTTTCTCCCTCAGTCGTATTTTTTACTTATTTTCAACCATCAGAGGTTTGAGGAAAGTGATTCTGAACAACTTCACCTGGACGATAGATTGAGAATAATGACTTTTACACCAGTGCATGATGGGAGACTTCATCATCCGCTGTACAGAGTCTGTATTTCATCTGTGAACCCGAGAGGACAACATGTGCTCAGACGAAGAGATGGTTCCTCCGCATGTTTCAGCAGCGAGTTAATGTCTCGTCTCCTCAGAGGTGGACGTGTCTCTAATGGAGGCCGAGGAGAAACTGTTAGAGATCTGAAAACATGATGGAGCAGCTGCAGGTGTGTGTGTGTGTGTGTGTGTGTGTGTGTGTGTGTGTGTGTGTGTGTGTGTGTGTGTACAAACATGCAGGCAAAGATATACATGTTTCACAGATTCACATAATCCAATGTTCTACAGGAGTTGAACTCTGCCCGACTAATCAGAGCAAACACGAAGCAGCAGCTGCCGCCTGCAGCTCAGAGATGATCCCGCTCCGTAATCAGCAGAGTTCGCTGCTTCGTCCTTAAGAGGCGAGAGGCTGCCGGGCGCCGTCAAACCCAACACACGTCTCTTTTCCTCCAAGCAGAATTTAATTAGTCAAAGGAAATATAATTAACTTCTACAGACGGAGAACCAGTCGATGTAGTTTTCACCAAAACCTCTCGATTGCGGAGCGTCCCTGTGTCACGAGACTCTCACAGACTTATATCTGCGTCCTGTCAGACGGATTAGTGTCTTACCTTCTACTACTTTATATATTTTCTCGTTGCCATAACTTGTGGACCTGAAATGATTTTTTCTCTTTGTCTGAATTTGAAATTTCCTGCAGGAAGAAAACTTCAGCCTCGTGTGACAATAACGTATCAACCTCGTTTTGTTTGCTCTGAAAATGAAAAAGTTTTGAGTTGTGATGGAAAATGAAATAGAAATGTTTTCATCTCAAAGTGATGAAAACAAATGAGACAGATGACGAGTTGTTTTGCAGAACACGCCCCTGCTGCTTTTAACTTCCTTATTCCCATGATCCTCTTTTGCACAAATTGAAAACTCATCATGTAGTTTTCATTCTATCTGAGACTCCAATATTTCAGAGTTTGATCATAATCAAACAGTCTCTGCTGCACTTGTCTGTGTAACATCTTGTTCATGTCTGAGCTGATGAAACCAAAACTAACAGATCAAATGAAACTATGAACCATGAAGCTTCAGTTCTCAGTTATTTAAAACTGAAGTTCTCCAGAACATTGTTTGGTATCTTCCTTATTTCCAGGACATTTCCTATGTGACCATATTATCATTTCATATTTGACTCAGAAATAAACAAAATATATCAAATCTGATCTGGAAAATTGTGTTGTTTTGTTGTTTTACAGTAAAAAATATAATATAAATTATGAATATTATTTCAGGACAGTGAACGTGTCATAGATCCTGTGTAATGTTGGTTTTGAGAGACAAGCCTCTTGACTTAAAGCTTTTGTCTTCGCTCGGAATGTTTTCATGAATAAAACATGCGGATGGTCTCTCTCTCTTTTGCCTCCAGATGGAGACGAGGAAGCGTCTGGCCAAGATCGTGCTGGTGTTCGTGGGTCTGTTCGCTCTGTGCTGGTTCCCCAACCACGTGCTCTACATGTACCGCTCCTTCAACTACCACCAGATGGACCTGTCGCTCGTCCACCTCATCATCACCCTGCTGGCTCGCGTCCTCAGCTTCTCCTCGTCCTGCGTCAACCCGTTCGCACTCTACCTGCTCAGCGAGAGCTTCCGCAGGCACTTCAACAGGTCCGCAGATAACTTGCTCGGGAGGGGACGCCATCAACAAAGAGAGATTTCAGACACTGACGAACACGACAAAAACATGACACAAGCAAAGTTAGAAGGACGTTACAGTTTCTCACATCAGCCTTTAACTGCGTCCGATCACGACACAGAAACAAATATACACACAAACGTTATTTCTAGACTAAGATCAGAGTGAAGAGTCTTTTCCTGCTGTTGTGAGGAAACATCTTCTTGAAGTGAAGGAGACTCACAGACGTGTCCATGTTATTTATACATTAAAGTTTCCAAGCATCGACGTTCTCTCAAGTCATCGGGTTTCAAACAGACGTGAAGCCGCTCAATCAAAGGTCAGAGGTCAACAGATACATGTAAAGATTGTAAAGAGATGAAGCCATCATGTACCTGAGTTATTCTTTCTTATTTAAAGGTTAGTTTTAACCGAGTCCAGTTAGTCTGTGAGAGGGATGTTGTTAAAGATCTTTATTTATTATGTCTCATATAAAACTACCGTCGTATTTGAAGCTGCTGTCACGCAGACGTTCCATCAATACTCAATAATTATCAGACTTCCACAATTTATCTTTAAATCAGTAAATCAAGGTTGATCATCGTTTAACTCAATCTTTGTCCGACCATGAATCCAAAACCAAAAGATGCTTCTGTGACAGAAGTTTAAGTAAATGTTTAGAAGTGTGAACTGCAGCGTTTCAAGGGACTACAGGGCCCCGGGCAAAGGGACTTTAGGGGCCCCTCCATCAAACCATAGCTCAAACTGTTCACACACAAATAATCGTGAAGTAGAAGAGTTCCCTGGTGAAATCTAATTTAGATTCTGTTGAACATCCAGTGTTCTTCTGAAGCCAGTTCTGTTGCACCTGATTCATTCAATCTACTCCATCTCCTTCTTCCTCAGTCAGCTGCAGTGTGGTAGAGCTCAACACCCCGAGTGCCGGGCCAGCTACCTGCATAGCACCTCCCACATCCGCCTCACGTCCATCAAGAAGAACACGCTCACCGCTCCAGCAGCCAATGGAAACCCCAACAGACAGGAAGTGGCTCTGTGAGGAGGGCGGCTGAGTCGGTGATTTACAAACGTCACCTGATCTCCTGAGGTTCGTGAACGCACTCCTGACTCCTGCAGCTGCAACACGAGGGACCTCTACACGCCTTGTACCAGGTGAACGATTCTACCAGCGGCTCCCGACACTTTGGACTCAACTACATCCTCGACTTGGCAACCAAACAAAAAGTGCCTCACGAAAATCACAGAGAAATAAAACGCTTCAGCCACGGCTGCAGGATTTATTGAATATGTTCCATCAATGTAGATATCTCACGTGGTATGTTGGATGAAGTAAAACCTGCAGGGGAAGCTTTAACAAACCACCGGTCCCCGGCTGAGAGGACAGTCGTGGGTCGCATCAGCGCCTCATCGGCATGTCAGCTGTGAAAACCTGGTTCTTTGTGCTCAGCTGATGGAATCAGCCATTTTCATTTACTCTGTGATTCTATGTTGATCCAATGAGACGAGGATTTGATTTTGTCTTTTTTTCTGCAGCCTGATAAGAAGTTTCAGATACAGAGCAACGTCCCTGAAGACACGAGTCAGACGTGAGTTTGATGAATGCTCTGGACCACTGGAGGATTGAACTCTTTGACTCGATGGCTCTCTCTCTCTCTCTCTCTCTCTCTCTCTCTCCTACAGTTGTGGAGATTTGCAGAGTAACTGAACACACTTAGTTCAACACTGTCCTTGTAAACCAACAATTGTCTGTGGACGGAGATCAACCTCTCTGGTCAACGTTCAGTCTGTGGCTCAGTCACATTTTGTATCCACCAGGTATCTTTGTCTGAGAGCTAACGGCAGTTACACAGTTCCCTCGTTAGCCACTGGCAAACTTTTTATTTAACTACGCAGGTTTGTGCCGTAGTTAAATAAAAAAGTTAGAAACTGCTCCTCAGTCCACAAGTGTTTGTGAATTATGATTCATGACGATATGGTGTTGAGTTGTACCAGTGTTGTTTTAGCACCAGTGTCACCAGTTCTGTTGATGATTCACTCAGGATGTATCTTTACTGTTTTGCTGATGATGTGATTTTGTTGGTGTAAGAATGTGACCTGTTTGTAGCCAAGAGCTAAAGCTAACTAAAGCTAAAGCTCTCTGGGTCGAGAGGGCGTGTCGATGACAGGAAGTCATCGACACGATTGACACAGTGAGGAAGGAGATGAGTTGTTCTGAAGCGATCGATATTCAGACTCGTCTGTTTTCTGCATTTATTTAACTCTTTCTGGTCAAAGCTCTTTGCTCCACAAGTCAGCTCAACCCATTCACACACTTTATTATCATTAAGTGTTGTGTTGGGGTGATGTGATGTCTCTTAGTGGTCGATGGCACTAGACGGCCACCACGGCTCTGACATGTGGCGGTTCGAGTCCCAACAATTCGTCTAATCTCTGCAAACAAGCAACGTTCACTGAATTCCACTAAAAACGATTTAAGGACCCGACGTTGTGGGGGGGGGTGTCCTGGTGGAGACAAACAGAGATTGGTGTCAACACTGTGTTGCAGCTTTGCATGACCTGACCTGTGGTGACGTGTGCACAGACGTGTTGTTTGTAATTTATTTGATTTGAATCTTGATGTTTCGTGTCTATTTAAAATGACGTGTTTGTCGGTGCCAGGCATGCTTCGCTTCTCCATGTTTGAAAATGAGTTTCATGAACTCCTGTAATAAATGTTACGATCTCACAAACAGCGGCGGCGGCGGATGGACGTGACTTTTTGAAGCAACATCAAAGAAAATTCCTGTTTGATCTTCTTTCATCAATCAAATCTACTCATATGCAAATGAACCCGCCTCTCACCTCACCCGCTGTGATTCAGACACGTCTGAACCTGAAACTGAAGAAGAAGAAGAAGAAGGAATTGGACACAGTCTCCTACGAGTCAGTGCTACGAGTGTTTGATAAATACAGATCACAAGCTACTAGCTACCTTGGCTAACTTAGTCGAGCTAACTTTAAATAAACCTCTGACCTTAGCTTTGATATTTCTGATAATGGGGGGGGGGGGGGCAGGCGGTACAGTGGTTAAGGTTAGAACCTGTTAGAACCTGAACCACCTGCAAAAGTTTTCTTCTTCCCACATTCCAACCACATGTAGCTTAGATTAATTAGTGATTGTTCGTAATTGTGCCACAATCGTAAAATTAACAACTGAAAAATAAAAGTCAAAACAGATTAAAAGGAAAATAACGTGAAACAAACAGGAACAGAACATTTCAGATGAACTGCTGTTTGTGCATGTTATTAAGAATTAGACAGGCGTGAACACCACTCCTTCATTTGATCGTCTGAGCATTAAATTAGCTCAGCAGCTTCTCTCCTGCCTCAGGTCTCGATCTCTCTGAGGCAACGATAACAATAATTAGAAAACACTGTGCGACTGCTGGAATGTGACGTTTCTTTCTTCCCTCATTTCACATCAACGTTTTCCTGCACAACAACCCGGAGATGAAGATCAGTGGACGTTAAACAACTCTGGTGACTCTGTTTCATTTCTAACACTAAGACGCCAAAACTCCAACAAGTGGAGTAAGTGTCAGATTAACTGTTGAGCATCAGTGACGTGAAGAGCATCTCTCATGTTGGTGCCTGAGGTATTTTAAAGAGTCGTTATTCCTCGTCTCCTCGATCACTACTTCACAGACTGACTCCAGATGACGTCACCGTCTCAAGACGGCAGCGTATTGGAAATATTCTGGCTTCATTATAGTCGGAGGAAGTGGAGACACGTCGTCCATCTTTATCTACATGCAGATGTTTCTTCATAAAGAAAAATCAGGTGCAAGAGATTTTTCTATAACCTCTCAAATACTTCAGGAGTCCAGACAGAGTCTGTTCTCATCGGGCTGATTCAACATCCACAGACTCACACTGTTGTTCGTCTTTCACATTTTCTCCTCCTGCACTCTTACCCTCCGTCTCATTTATTTTCCATTAGCGTCCTCCCTCTGCCTCTCGTCCATTTGTCTGTCCCTTCTCTCTTTATCCTCTCACCTCTCGCCTCTTCCTCAGCTGTGTTTACACTGAGCATCTGGAGTCACAGCAGAAAACAAGTTCTCATATTCTGACTTTTATCAGCTTGATGTTCTTATTTCATGTGAACATATTGGACACACTTTGATGAGGTGTTTGAAGGAGAAGGTCTGTTTGTGCTGATCGCTTTTTTAATCAACATCTGATCTGAGAATACAGGATATAGAATCACACACACTCACAATGTCCTCCTGCCATATATCCATAATCCATTTCCATTTAAATGATAAATTAGCTGGATGAACACACAGAACAAGTTTAAGACATCGAACAGAATCCAATCAGAGGATGTTGATGATTTGGGACTTTACATTGGTCTCATTGCTGATGTGTTTAATTAGAACCATCACACCTCTGGAGGCCGAGACGTTTAATAAATGAGAAACAGGAGCCAATATTCTCTGAATAAATAAGATTAAGAAAATGAGCGTTAACTACTCGTCCGATCTGAGCCGATCACAGAGACGGATTCATCACCGGTGAATTTAGGTAAACTCCTCCTCCTCACTATTACTGTTCTGTTCGGACAAGAACAAATGTAATGAACACTTTAAAGACTTGAATTAGCTGTGATCAAACCGTCATCAGTTCTGTTCTGCAGAGGGAAGTGCACGTTAAAGGGAAATCAGAGTTGCCTTTGTGCTTGTTTAATTTGACATTTTACAACAAAACCCTGAAAAAGTTTAACGAGCAGAAGCAATTAAAAAAATTATTGCACAGTGAAAAATAAAGAGTTAAAACTAATACTGAAGTTAAACAAATGAGATCCGAATGAAAGGAGTCCCGAGGCCAGAGACGTTATTTATTATAGGATTTCAAACTGTAAGCTGTAATCAAAAGACACAACATAAAAAAAACAGATTTATAAAACCAGCGGAAACACGTCACCGAAGGTGAAGTAATGAGTCATGAAGCCGTCGGACAGAATCAGGGTGAAGATGACAAAGCTCTGATGAGGGTTAACCCGCGCTGATGAAAACAGAATGAATGAATTCATTCGAATGTTTGAAAGTGATTTGACTGTGAATGAGTCGCAGGCGGAGAGCAGATTAAACTACTTCTTCACAAGAGATTAAAATAAATAAAAGCATTTATGAGAGTCTTCAACCCCACCCGTCTGTTTCTGCAGGCAGGTAAAACAAATCCACAGAAATGTGTCCTGACGGTGTTCAAAGCTTCAGACGCTTCTCAGGCCTCGAGATAATCAACACATCAACATCCTGTTTGTTTCCAAGGTGACGAGACCACGAGGCTGATGACCTTTTCTCCCGATACGAGAATAATCACATTTGTCAGCAGGATTACGCAAAAGTTACTGAGCGGATTTTCATTCAGCTTTTTTTCCACGTAGAGACGTCGCAAACTGTCGACTTCGTAAACACAACACCAGGTGGGATCATGAGCCATGATCTTTTACAGATGTGACATTAAAACCAGCATCAATGTGTTTCATCAAAGAGCATCACGGAGCTCAAACACTTTGAAGTATTCAGAACCAGTTCGATTTAGAATTATCTTAAATTTACGAGCTCCTGAAAACCTTGTGTTGAATGATCCACTTGAGCCCAGCTCAGAATAAAACCAACGACCGACGGACGACGCATCTTCCTCCAGACATGAAGCTGTCATACACAAAGGCTGCCATCTTTAACAAACATTCAGCGTCTACTTCGATTGTTTAGTTTGGTGCATGTCCCATCTGCTAACATGGAGGAGGAGGGACTTATGATTTATACAGCAGCCAGACACTGGAATCAAACCATGAACCTGTCCTGACTCTAAAGGTCAGCACAGAGGGCCCGAGTTTTAAAGTTCCCTTGTATCATATATTTATTTTAAACCTGATCTCACCTCAAACACACGTTACGATAAGTAAATAAGTTCGTCCGTCACGTCCAGACGAGAGTCCGACCTCGAAAACCCACTGAGACTCGTTAGAATTCAGAGCGGCCGCACGTATGCAAGAAAACATTGAAACTGAATAATGAGATAAACACAAGACTGTGTGTGTGTGTGTGTGTGTGTGTGTGTCCAATACAACACAATATAAAATATATATGTATCCATGAGTTAACAGTGATTTACATGAGGAGCACCGACTGAAACATGAAACTCAAACATGAAACTGAAACATGAAACTGAAACATGAAACATGAAACTGAAACATGAAACAAGAGGATTAAAAACTATTTCAAACATTCTGACACAAGAATCTAAGATTTCACTCGCTGCGGCTCCACGGATCAGACGTGTGAGTCGCTGCCTCCAAATGACTCGAAGATCAGACAAACTGAGAAAAGAACGGGGACCTGACGGAAGAAGCAGCGTGGACCGTGAGAGGCCCGGGCGTCTCATCTATTGAACCAAAGTGATGTGTTCAGGTCGCAGACCATTTCCTGCTTTAGATTCAAGGCGATAAGACGAGGCCGCCGCGCCGCAGCTTTGTTCGGATGA